ATTGCAGCAAACATGACGGAAACGACTTCATGTGCAAACATGCCCCCAAAGATTCACCACAGGAGCAGATTAAATTTAATCACCGTTACCAAAATCTCCCAAGCGATCGATAGCGATATTACAAAAATGTGAGGATATATCGAACAAACATAATATACTCGTTCTGCTTATGATATACGAGGATTTATATTGATATTTTCAAGTCTCTAGGTCTTGTAGCTCGCAAGATCGACGCGTTTACCCAGATGGACATGATCTTTCTGCCCGTAACATACATTTCCAAGAACCAAACTTTATGGGATATGTATTAAATTGTACTTAAATAAAGTATGAATGGCTTATAACGTGTACGATTAGAACTCACTTTCAAATTTGATAATACCAAATGACTAAAATTGGATCAAAGATACTTCTTGGAGTAAGATCGAACTCTTCGACTCAAGTAATTTACATTTTACTTTAAGATAAGGTGTTTCAAGTATCAAATACTTGTTTTTTTCGTTAACGCTTTCTTATGCATAAACGCCTCTTGCACATGTCAAAGAAGTTATAAGGTCACCTACTATCGTGCAGTTGTACCTTTTAGAAAGCTTGTCTAGATGGACCTTCAAGCATTTCTTTATGGACCAACAATTGGAAGAAATACCTAGTCCTACTTGCCCAGCAGCCAACACTGAAGACACATTGATACGAGCACGGATCAATAAAAACCCTCGTCCGAGCTCTATATTAAGACAACAGACTAAAAATTGTTGTTTAAAATTGTTGTGTGGTTCCAATTGGAATTTGTTTAAATTGCTTTTTGCTTGATATGGGGAGGTCTATCAACTAAATAAATATACATGATCTTTGTACGCTATATGAGACATTGAAGAAGTTCGTGACGTATAAACTAGAGAACGGAACGTGTGCCGATGCCAAGGGCATTAATCAATAGCTTTAATGGTACGTAATTAGACAAAATAATGCACACTTTACAACTTACCAACGTGTATATCTATGTAGACATCGGTTGCTGCGCTCAGCTCTATCTAAGGTGCTGGCTGCGGTGCAGTTTTCCATGCTTTCCTGCATACTCAATGCCAAATTGTCCACCGTGATGGGTCGTGGCACAATTTCCTCCAGCGGTCGCCTGTTCCCTAAGAATCCTTCGGCGTACTGGCCGTTCTTTCAGTTCCAGGCTGCCAAGTTGGAAATCAGTCAATTTTTTCAGCGATCCTTTGGCGAGCCATCCAATCGGGCTATGCCGCTTTCATTTTGAGCTCTATAGCTGGCGGCTGTTTCAGTTAGCTGGACAATCCCTGCGATGACTAGTGCCATATCATAAATCACTAGTGCAAAAATTCGCGTCCATAGCTGGGAACAGCAAATCCTCAGCTCCAGTTAGGATCGCAGAGTAGCACAGCATTTTGGACAATCAGGGAGAAAGTATCGCTGATGTTTGGATCAACAACAACAACAACTCGACAGGTGGACAGGAGACTCGAGTCCAGCTGCGGTTGCACGATTCTTTTGCGACCTTCAGCTTCTTGCAGAGGTCTACAAGGACCATCAAATCTGGGATGCCAATAATCGATCGGAAATTTCATTCCAGATCGGAAACTTCCAGAGGAGTGGTCCCAGAACTGAGGCCCAGCGGTCACTTGGTGGGTAAAGGAGCCAACAGTGGCTGCGTATAGTTATTGTAGGTATTAGGGGAATCTACCGTCGACTTTCCCTTGCTTAAGCTAAATTGACTGGGAGAAAATGCGTCCTTTGTAAAGCCTGCTGCAGATATTCTTCTTTGGCACCTTTCCCAAAATTGACGAGTTGTTTGCAACCTGTCGCTCTATACGTCAGGCACTCAGAGCCTAGTCGCCATCAATCCCGCTATTGTGACGCTGGTCGCCTAGGACTGTTCCCATCTGCTCCATGGTGCCTCTCAGGATTGTTTGTACATCAATAATCTCTTGCACTGCCGACGGCAATGCCATCCTTTGCTGCACTGATGTCGCCACCTGGTGCGGCATACATTGCTGAAGTGCAGAGGGGCACGTAAAGGCGTGAAGCTCATCCCCCATCCTGTCCTCCATGACGTCATCTGCTTCAACTACCAAGGAATGAATTTTAGAAGGGCTCTATTATGTATGTACATATGTATGTGTGTGATAACACATTAATTTAAAGCGTTTGAGATAAGGTATGCAGAATTTCGTGTTTATGTACATACATATGTATATATCAAGCCAAAACCCGAATTGCGACATAAAATCGGATTGAAAATACGACTATAACCGAAAAAACTTCGAGTTTTCGAAAATATACATATGTACATTTAATATCAAGGGAATTTGTTTTAATTATCAAAATATATTCGATACTGTTCAATTTGTAATGTTCTACAACCCTTTGCACTTGACGATTTAAATTTTCTTTAACACTGCTTTCTCTCTTCTCTCTCTTCCTCTTGCCATGTTCGCTTTCGCCGCCGGGGTCGGTGCCGCTCTTCAGCTGCATGTTTTGGGCATGTCTGACTCCTTAACGACGTTTAACGGTTTTTTGATCGGTCCGTTATTTGCGATTTCTATTAGTGGTGACATTTGCTACTCGTGGTGGGCTAAATGCCGACTATCGTCGCCTCCTCGTGAGAGAAAAATATTTATGACTAAGGCATATTAGATAAGTTAATTAAGCAATGCTTAAACTAAGGCAAAATCAATTAAACTAAAACAAAAATTACCTTTTTTTTATAAGTTGCAATACTCTGCGTCACACTTTTTGTAATAACCCTTTGATCAAATATACAGTCACAAATTTCCTATTGTATATTTGTGTTTTCGATCGATTTTGGGTATGGTGCAGTAATTTTGTTATACAAGATGATGTACATACATACATATATACATATTTCTAAAATAGCCTGCTTTTTATATGGCATGGCTTATATAACGTTTGTTAATTTTAATAGGCCTTTAGAGCGAATTATAACTTTGTCAAGAAATGTGTGACGCATATAAGGATACATCCCCTCCACATCAAAAAACATAATAGCTGATATACATACATACATACCTATGTTCTTATATACGTCAGTGTGTTCCTAATAGAATCTTTCTATTCAAACTAGTCTCTCAGTTTTAAAGGTCCGTCTTTCTGTTACTGGATGCGTATGCATAATATTTATAAATTTAAAATAGAAATTTATTTTTCGGATTTTTTAAATTAAAAAAAAAAGTGGTTTGCTTTGATTGGCTTGTTAATATATGTATGTATTTCTTAAATGTATGAATAGCTAATCTATAAAAATGTATTACATATTAGAGAATTAAGTCTATAAAGTGTGACGTCACAATCTCTGGCAATAACGTGCCGAATGACGGACCTGTGCGTAATCATTTGATTCTCTGCGACACATGCATAAGTATGTATGTATGTATGTATATAGACATGTACATATATGTATGAATGTAAATATCACAAGCAATGCGAAAACGACTGCGGATGGAAGACGAGCAATAAAACAGTTATTGCTATTCTCAATTTTATTTCGCATGCTTTTTGCTTTGACGCAGAGAATCGCACAGGTTACGCACTGGGCCGCAACGCGGCGCGTCAGCATCAGAGATTGAAACGTCACACTTCATAAGTTTATTACTTGCAAGCCTAATACAATGTACTTAAAGATTAGGTAAATATATGCATACATTAAAAACCAAACATATTTAAAAGGAAAAGAAAATTGTAAGCAATCGGAAATTTTTCAATATTTATTACTAATTGTACGATCAGTGCGATTGTATAAGAAAATATCAATCTGTGACGTCATGCGAAGAACAAACAACGGCGTGCGATTCTTTTCAGTTTCAGTCTCCTTTTTTCTTTCGCTCTCTGACTGAAAACAGCTCAAGCCTTGCTCAGCATGTTAGTCAATGATCTGCACGTCAGGCGGCAACAACAATTAATGCGAACGCTTACGCATAACGGTTAAAATGTGAAAATAAATAAGTGGGCGTGCATTTTAATTTTTGTTTTTTTCTGTGCCATTGTAATAGTAAAAAAAAAAACAAGGAAAATAAATCAATTCCACGCTGGTGCCAATAAGTGTTACAAGCTGTAAAGTGTTATAAGCTGTAAAACATAAATGTGAAAATAAATAAGTGAGTGTCTATTTTTTTTTTTTTCTGTGCCAAAGTAATAGTGAAAAAAAAAGAGGAAAATTTATCAATTCCGCGCTGGTGCCAAAAAGTGTTAATAAGCTGTAAAGCATAATCCGCAAATGCAACAAGAAAAAATAAAAAAGGTAAAAAATGTGAGTATAAAGGAAATAAATAATTGAAGTTTAAAAAAGGATTCGTTTTAAAATTATGTATTGCTGGTGGATTTTTTTGAATTTTAAACTTAAGCTATATTTTAATGTTTATAATATTATAAATATGGTTTTCTTTTTCTACTCGTTTGAAATGTGAAAAAGAGTATATTGTGTTTGTAAATGTGTACATGTGTAAATATCTATTTACATATTTATGTATGTGTATGTGCCAAAATGATTAATTTTTGTTGTTTCTTCACATTGGAAGAATGCCCATCCACAAAGAACGCGCAAAAAAACGGTTATTGCCACATTTTTCTTTTTCTGCTTGCTTAGCTAAGCTTCCGGATGAGCAAATCGGTGAACTGTAGCGGGGAACTGTATTATAACTGTAACTGTATTTTAGAGCACTTTTGTTGTTTTGCAAGTACTTTGCTTGATTTTGCATTTGCAAAGTGACCTTATGATCCAAAGATAAAGTATGCAACAGTAAAAAAAAATCGAAGGCAGAATTTGAATAAGGTATTTAAATAATCAATGGGACCATAGAGATGTTTCTCCGCCTAGAATACGCATGTTTTAAAAAGCTTTATACTATTTTAATGCAAACTAAGCTCGACACGTTGTAAACGATAAGAATAGGATTTATTTTCACTCCTGTCAAACTCATGTTCGGCATTTAAGCATGACTTTGATTTAAGCTTTTGGAAAGCTATTGCAACAGTTGCGACTAACAGTAAAAGCTACACGGAGCATAAGCTTTTACGGCACTGTTGCGTCTCTGTTGTGTATAACGACTTGTAAACGGATGCTTGTGGACTCGAGTCCATCGTTGCGATTTCAAAATCATTCGTCAACAGACTCTCGTGCGATTCGGTTCAGGCTCAGTCTCAGTCTCTCTATCTCTCTCTGACAGGCAGCAGCTTAAGCATTGGCTCAGCATCAGTGACAGTCAATGATTTGAACGTCAGGGGACAAGAACAACTGTTACACGCGCGTACGCTTAACGGTTGAAATTTGAAAATAAAAAAGTGCTTGTGTGTGTTGATTGTTGTTCTTTTTTTTTTGCCGTGCCAAAGTAAAAGGTGTTTACATTTAACTCGGCAATTGTTAGCTGAGCAAAGTCGAAATTCGAAAGTATTGAATTGATTTTCTGAATTAAATAAATCGCGCTGAATTTATCAGTTTCACGCTGGTGCCAAGAATTAATAGGCCTGTTAAAATTCTACGCGGAATAAGCTGTGAAGCATAATCCGCAAGTAACAACAAAAAGAACAAATAAAAAGCAGAGCAAGAAAGGTGAGTATAAAGAAAAACAAATAATTGAAGTTTGAAAGAAAATTCGTATTCAAATTGTGTTTTTTAGGTGCCGTAATATTTGATTTGAATTTCTACTAAATTTTTAAAGTTAATTAATCTAACGGTAAGATTGAAGTCACATGGTTATTTTGGAATTCTACTTTGAATATTTAACAAGTATATATACATATATATACATATATTTGAATATTTACATTGTACATTGAATAAGCAATGTTCTAGTTGCGAGTGCTCGACTAGGAGATACCTTGTAGCTAGCTTCATAACATTTAAAATCTGTTTATATAAACAGAAGGGGCTAGACCATACTATATACAACTAAACGTTAACGGGGGGATATATTCTCAAAGTAAAAACTCTGATTCCGTGTAAACTTTACAAGAAACTGCTTAAAAAATTTGCTTCTAGTTCTTATAAACTTAAAAACTTGCTGACAAAAATCCAATCTGTAAATCATAATCAGCCCCTTATTGATTCAAAGTAAATTGTGCTTGCAATAGGAATAGCTACATTCCCAGCTTGAAGTCTTGAGCTTCTATAATATCTGATATCCATATACCCTTTTTAGCCATTTTCAACAGGGTATGGAAACCCTTATGCTAGTCGTATAAGCATTTTCTTTTTATTTTTTTTTTGTGTATTTACATATGTATTTACTTAAGTAATTTTGTAAACATTTAGGTGATATTTAAATAACTTGGCTTTCTAAATTCAACATCGTGGATTTTGAATTTGTTTTACAGTTTTTTTGTAGCTTAAATTTAATAAACGCCAAATACTTGAAGTATACAAAAACCGAATAAAACACAAACATCTAAGATTTGGCATCAAAGTAAGAACTTGCTGTGTGGGTTTTTCACTTCATTAGCTTTGAAGAAATATCAACAAAAAACATAAACATCAAGGAGTTACGGCTGCTGTAAATGTAACTGTAACTGTAACTGTAACTGTGGCTGTAACGAGGTCCAACTGGTGTTTGCCCAAACAATTTTCAACCAATTTTACTTAACTGCCTTCGCAGATAATAAATCATTTTCTTTGCCCGTTCGCCCGATTTGCCTGCCGCCCTCACTCGGCGCTGGGTTAAGTGAGTGATGGGCAGAATTTGTGTGTGAGGGGCTGTGAGTTGGTGTGAGGAACTGTGGGTTAGAGCCAGTCCCCTGCCAGACTTTAGATGGCCTTAGATGCTGGTTGCTCCTTTCATTTATATATGTATATATATAAATATGTATATATATATATATTGTTGCGACGTTATCTGTTTTTTGCTAATTAACTTGGCTGCCTGTCAGTGTGCGCCCAGAAAGCGCGAGCGGGCGAGAGAGATATATTGGGAAAAGGAGATACTAATATCCCGAACGGGCTAAACTTAAACGTTACGTTTTGAATTTCTTTGGAAATCAAAAATCTCATTAAAATGTTCGGCAACGGGCCTGCCCTCCGAGAACCTCTTTAACATAAAAGAAAGCAAAAATAAATATAAAAAAAAATAAATAAAAACCAACGACGACGACAACAGCCAGCGACAATTATTTGGGGGCGGTCGGGACACAAAGTAACAAAGGGTTGGCTAACTAGGCGTATGCAAAATTTGAATAAACTTCCTTGTTGCGAGCAAACATTTACAGAGTGTGTGTGTTGGATTGCATATGTGTGTAACATCTTTGTATATATATCTTTTATATGCATAAAATTGATCACAAAAATATATGTAAATAAATACCTTGACTTTATGCTCGTAAAATTAGGAAAATGTGACAAAAAAAAAATAAAAATTGAGGAAAATAATCACGAATTTTGGCGTTCGGAAGCATAAACCACATTTTAATTATTCTGCCCGAACAATGTTTTATATTTTATATATTTTTTTCTTTTAGCTTTTGTCAACAATCAGCTTCTATATTAATTTAATATTATTAAATACCACAAATTTAATATGCATGCCAAAAATATTGACCTTTGGTATTTTAATGACATATTTGTATATAAAACCTAGATATAGAATGCATTAATATTAAAATTCAGCAAACGTTGAGCTCACCTGAAATGCATGGCCAGATTGTGATTAATTTGGGTTAATAAATAATTAAAGCTGCATATCAACTGATGATGCTCATAATTATATATTCAGATCTTATCTGCTTTTTATACCCTAACGCATAGAAGGAAACATCTCCGACCTCATAAAGTGTATATATTCTTGATCAGTATCAACAGCCGAGTCGATATAGCCATGTCCGTCTGTCCGTCTGTCTGTTTATATGCGAACTAGTCGCTCAGTTTAAAAGTTATCCCCATGAAACTTTGCACACTTCCGTCTTTCTGTCGCACACTGTACATATGTATGTCGGAAACGGCTGGATCGGACCACTATATCATGTAGCTGCCATAGGAACGATCGGTCGAAAATTAAATTTTAGTATTTTTATCAAAGCCAGCATTTACGAGCTTCACTATTTTAACATATCTGCAAAACCGTAAGGCAAATGTCTACAAGGGTATTAAATCTTCGGCGTGCCGAAGGTAGCCCTTCTTTCTCGTTTATATCTACAAATGACGTAATTTGATTATGTGAAAAGAAGTACTCATTTAGTTATTGGTACATCTGATTATCTAGTCGAATTTGTATTAAAATAAGTATTATGCATTCATACTTTATTCGAATACTCATCCGTTTATAGGGCATTACCTTCACTGCCTGGAAACTCAAAGATATATATGCAAAAATTGTTGCCCCTTTCGCTCGGTGCGGTCGTTGTTACATTTTCATTAATTGAAATATGAAATTATAATTGCATTTTTTGCCCAGATTACATGAAAAACAGCATTGACCCAAAATCCGGTCGTGTGCCGCCCAAAACCCCAGCCCAAGCCCAATTGATGACAACACAATTTGAGTGAACTTTTTGCCAAGACATAACAGGAATGAAAAAAATGCGAAAGAAAGTAAAAAAAATTGTAATTATAATTATAATTAAATAACGAGCAAGTTAAAGGCGCGCGCTGGTTGAAATGGCGCTGTGTGTAACCAGTTAGGTCAACAGCTTGGTCAGGATGCGGCCATAATTCACTTGGCTGCCATCGATTTGGCTAAAATGTGTCAACAACAGTAGCAGAGGCCACCAGGACTAACTAATGCCGACGTCTGTGTATGTGCATGATATCAAGAGCAGCTACCAACAATATCACAAAAAAAAACTCACGACTATCTTCAGCACGCCGATAGCTAAATACCCTAACTGACATATAGCTTTAGGTTTGGTAGATTCCTATAGCAGCCATATGATATAGTTGACTGATTTGCAGATTTGCAAAGCTCATATTTCGACCGATTCTTCCTTAAAAGCTATGTGATATAGTAGTCCCATATGGGGACTACATATGTTGCTCATATGTAATAGCCTAACTCCACTATTAACATTTCATAAATTTTTTGCGAATGTGACATATGTTGCCTGTTCGTTTTCCCATAGGAAACAAAATTTTTCACATTTGTAACAAATGTAACATTTGCAAAAAATGATTTATCGAATTTCGTATCGATGTTATGGAAAATACGAAAGTATCCTGACCACAACGGCTGATATAACAAAGAAGGCAAGCAGTAACTTTAATTAAATTTTAATTAAATTAAAATTTTAAATTTTAATAGTCCCACAGTTTTTACCATTTAAAGCCCCTACTTCAAGGCCGTATTATTTGACCTTTTCGGCGCTTAGGCAAATCAAATCAAACCGATCATTTGTTTATTTAAAGAAGCGGTACTTTTGCCATTCATATGTTACAGACAACTGACACTTGCTAATGGAATCGCAGAATGTGAAGTTTGTAAATGTAAGAAATGTTGAATGAAATGGAGGCATCAGGCTATAAGTCGCAAAAACTTTTAAATGTAGACTTTGTTTAAAATGTTGTTTTTACAAATACATACAGTATATTAATATGACAGCTATAAAATAAAGTGCTCAGATCTGGATATAAAAAGACGGATGAAACGGACTGACGGGTATGGCCAGTTTGAGTAGGTTGTTTGCAATGTCTTCTGTCTTCTTCTGTGCCTGAAACATTTGTGTGACAAAATTATGATACCCTCTACAAGGGTATAACAACAACACTAATGGCCGTGCGTGTGTGTGTTGTGTGTGAATGTTTGTTATGGGTATGTGACAGGCGGCTGTCATTTATAATGCGCTGCGTGCTACATAATACAAAAAGTATCATGTCTCGCAACAATAACTCACACACAAGTAACATAAACAATGTGACGCCTGCACATTTGCAAGCTCAAAAGAATTTGCAAACACACAGCAACGCACACACACTCACGCCCTAACAGCTCCTGTTGTGCTATTGCATGAGAACAATATTCATACATTTTTGAAATAAATGTTTACAGACACTTTGCACGATTTTGCACGACTATGGTAACGCGTTTGATGCAGATGAGCTATATGAATATATATACATATATATAAATATACTACTGCTCCTTCAAACACAAACAATCGCTGACATTGCTTTATAAAAAGACCTTTAAGCCCCGAACTACACTCAAGTCAACCTGCAGCTGCTCGTGAATGCCTGTTGTGTGTCACACATTTATGCTATGCTAAAAATATAGTTTATGGTTTATTCAACTTTTTATACCACTTCGGCGCCTTTGTAAAATTTCGTTATATCCTGTATTCATAAAATTGGTTAATAATAAATTAATAAATATATGCATAGGGCGTGCTATGCCTTGGCATAGGTGGAAATGGGACCATACAGACCAATTATATTAGCCATAAATGGCTTCAAAAGCTTAGATCCTTTAAGCATAAGTGTAGACTACATTTAGGGAGAAATGTATTCAATCGGAAGAGGCGGAACATGAATTTAGTGTGTCTTAGTCCCGGCTGCAAGCCCAATAAAAAATAGCAAGTAGTTCGGCTCGCGGTTTAAAAGTGTCTTTAGGTTTGGTTTCGGAACCCATGTTTCCATATCATTGAATCCAACTTTTTGTTTAAATCATGCAATGTTAAGAAACAATTCAATTCTCAATTACCCGGCGTACCCCGTTCTTAATGTATATATAAAATATGCTCCAAATTGGAATTCCGC